CTGAGAATTTTTTCAGAATTTTTTAATACCGTATTTTCTCATGTTGATAAAAATAAGAAAATGCAGTATTAAAAAGCTGATAAAAAATTCTGAAAAAATTCTCAAAACTTTATGAGAAGAAAATAAATAATTTTTGTCTCTTGCAGTTTTTCCGTAAAGTTAATGGTATTTGAGTAAAAAATTATTCAAGACCAATATTTTGCAATTTTTAATAATTAATATCTTGTTAGCTATTGCGAAAATTTCAAAATGATAGAGGACTTTTCGACTCAGTTTAATCCGCTCTATGAATACAAAAGTGATTGGCAAAAAAGATCGGGATACCCTATACAAGAATACGCCGAGCGGCCGAGAAGGTACATTTTCGGTTTTCGGTCGCTTGTAACGAGCGACTAGCAGAGAAAACGAGACAGCGAGATAGAGCGGCCGTCCTTTTCGCTCTAATACCCGCATGTGTTTACGATTTACTGGTAGAGCGAAAAGGACGGGCGCTGCCTCTCGCCGCCTCGCTCGCTCTAGTGGCCGACTCGATGCCAGTAGGTGGGGGTAAAAGTGGTGGGGCTGGATTCCGTGTTGCCGGGGAGCCAAATGTGCATCACTGCCTGGTGCTCCCCTCCCTCGGATCCAGCGTCCGAATGCACTTCCTCCTCCCTGACCCCCTCACACACACACATACATATCGCATATACGTATACTCACTAACACATAGTGAATTAGAACGCGCCTACACTGCAAATCCAAGTGTGTAATTTTTACACATTTAAGAGTGTAAAATTTTGTAGTCACTTTTTACGCATTTATATGTATGTTTCTTTTTACACGCTTTATTTGTGTAATTTTACACATTTAAATATGTGTTTTTTACACGTGTACATAACAAATTATATATTCAAAATGTGTACTTTTTTAAGGATTATAGGAATTAGATCACTTATATGAAGCTTGGTTTCACTAATGTAATAGATTAACTTTAATATTTCAGTTCAATTTACTCTTTATCTTTTTCCAGAGTTCGAAGAATTAGAAAAAAATAAATAATAATTTATATATATATATCAGGTACGTAAATATGAAACCGGCATTTACCAATAGATGGCCATAGCTGTCAATGTAGTTGCCGTCAGACCGCGTCATTGACGATATTTCCTTGTTCTGACATCTGACAAAGATTTTCAACTCACAACAATACAAGTTTCATACAACAGTATAGTTTGTAACAGCATTGAACATGTTGAATTTTGTGCCTGGAAACTACGATTTGCGGACAGCATTGATTTTCTGTTACCATTTGAAGAAAACTGCTGCAGAATCGCATCAAATGCTTGTCGAAGCTTACGGTGAGCATGCTCTTGGTAAATCACAGTGCTTTGAGTGGTTTAAAAAAATTCAAAAGTGGCGATTTTGACGTGAGAAACGAATAACGTGGATAACCACCGAAAAAGTATGAAGACAGCGAATTGCAAGCATTGTTGGATGAGGATGACGCTCAAACTCAACAACAATTCGCGGATCAATTGAATGTGACACGAGAAGCCGTCTCCATACTTTTGAAATTCATGGGAAAGATCCAGAAGGTGGGAAAATGGGTTCCACATGAACTGAATGAAAGACAGCAGGAAAACCGAAAAACCACTTGCGAAATGCTGCTCGCCAGGGACAAAAGAAAGTCATTTCTCCATCGAATTGTGACTGGCGATGAAAAGTGGATATATTTTGAGAATCCTTAGCGTAAAAGGGGTGATCCCGATTGATCACGGCTCGATTGGACACTACCAATCACAGCGACCAGTGCTTAGGAGCATTTTATTCTCAAGCGCAGTGTGTGACTCGTGTCCAATTGAGCCGTGTCCATCTGGGTGCCACCCAGCGTAAAAGATCATTGGTAACTCCAGGCGAACCATCGACATCGACTGCAAGGCCAAATCGCTTTGGACGGAAGACAATGCTATGTGTTTGGTGGGATCAGAAAGGTGTGATCTATTATGAGCTGCTAAAACCTGGCGAAACCGTTAATACTGAACGCTACCGACAACAAATGATCAATATGAATCAAGCTTTGCGTGAAAAACGACCGGAATATCAATGAAAGCAACACAAAGTGATTTTGCTTCATGATAATGCACCATCATACGCAGTAAAACTGGTCAAGGAAACGATTGAGGCGTTTGATTGGGAAATACTTTCGCATGCGGCTTACTCACCAGACTTTTCTCCGTCCGATTACTACTTATTTGCATCGATGGGACACGCACTTGCTCAGCAGCGCTTCGCTTCTTACGAAGATGTACGAAAATGGCTAGATGACTGGTTTGGCTGAAAAGAGCAACAATTTTTTGGAGTGGCATTCACAAATTGTCAGACAGGTGGGAAAAATGTATAGCTAGCGATGGGCAATACTTCGAATAAAATATTTTTTATCACTTTCATGCAATA